CAATTAATTATTTCAGCTACCCTCTACTGAGTGACAGTCATTACTAAGAACTGCGGGGAGCACAGGAATGGGCAAGAGAAGGGTAGATGCTAAAATTCAAAAGAACACCTTCTAAAAGGGTGTTGTTGGTGATGATAAAGGTCACGTCCATGGAGGGTCTCTCAAATATATCATCAGAAACATTGAAGGCCGGAAAGAAAAAAAAACAAGAAGGAAAAAAGTTTTCGAGAAATGGGGGTGGAGGTCAATGTTGTGGTCCAGCACTGGTGAGTCAGTCCATTTGCTAGGCTCTCCCGAAGCACTTCACTGGGCATGGGGAAGACTTTGTCTGGGCTGACTTCCCATCAAATGAGTCCAAGGGTAAGACCATGTTTTGAGTTTAATACGGAGCTGATGGCCTTGCTGGAGTTTGATGTTGATGCCCAAGCGCACACTTCTATCTGTGTTAAACAGAGAGAATGTTCCAGTCTTCCCAGTAGAACGGAAAGAACTCAGACTTTTAACATCTTACTGGACTGGTTTCAAATCCCAACTTGTTGCATGCCTTAGAGTAGTTTCTTAGCCTCTCTGAAACAGGTTTCTCAATTACTAAGTGCGGATAGCAATAGCCACCAACATATTTTGCCTTGAACATTAAAAAGAGCTATAAAGGAAACGAGAAGTTCTAACTCTGTTAGTCCGGACTTCACACGAGGTTCCAGGATTATGAATACCACATCCCCACATGAACTGTGAGACCACCGTGCCAGGGTTGCAAAAGGTGGAGCTGAAACTGCTTTTGTGGGTGTTTTTACTGACCACCTACCTCTGGCATATAAACGAGGTGGGAGAGGCCAAGAACAGAGCAGGGAATTGGATAGGAGATTTCTGGAAAGAGCACTAAGTCCATTGCACATCTTTGTTCCCTGCACCTTCACCCCACCACCCCAGCTAAAGTCAAGTCTGGTCAAAGTGACTTCAATGGGATGTTGTGAAAGCTTGATGTCTTCCCTGTATCTGAGGGGCCCAGAGGAATGGAATAGACCTCATACATTAAATCCAAGGGGCGAGAGCCTGGCTGGCCAGCTCTTTGAACGACAGAGTAGTGAGGTTGCTATGCTGGCGGCAGCACACACTATCAGTCTCTGAAGGCAAGGAATCCACACGCATTTTCTCCGGACCACCCGAGAGGGATGGTCTAACTCAATCTGGATCTTGTTAAAGGTCTGTCTGGAGGGAAACCGAGCACATCAGGAACAGGTTGGTGGTGCTGACAGATACCAGGGACTGGGAAGGAATCAGAATCAGCCAACTTAAAAACAATGCACTTTTATCCCCACTTCACCATGTTGACGGAGGAAGTTGATGTTTCTACCGGGAAACTTGTAGAGTACCCAATGAAAGACCCATCAAGAATCCATCTGTAACCACTACAGGACAGATAGAGCAGCCCCACAGGGTTTCCAAAGCTGTAAGTCTTTCTACAAGTAGATGATCGCATTTTTCTCCCATGGAAGCAACTGTGGGTTTGAACCGCTCTTCCAGCTACCCACTGAGTACTTACCCACTGAACTACCAGCACTCATTGATGAAAGAAACCGTAGGGTTAAAATATCTGTTGAGCTCAGAGAGAGAGAGAGCACTGGCCTTCTGTCTCCAAATCTGTACAAATCAACCAGGTATTTTCTGGCCTCCTTTTCCGTTTCTCTCTCCCCACCTCCTGACAAAGGGAGATGCAAAACCCACAATGATTACCAAGAAATAGAAGGAAAGGTGGCTGTTCTAAGTAGGACAGGAGGGAAGACGTGGAGCCACTTGTTCACTGTAGAAGGATGGCCAGTAGCAGTTCCAGGTCCAAGTGGGTGTATTGTACCTTTAAATAAAGTGTGACATTTCTAACTATCATTATTATTACTAATAGTAGAGCACTGTACATAGCATATTGATTATTAAACAAAGACCGTGCTTTGTGGCCTAAAATATATTGCCTACAAGAACACAGAAAATCTGTAGAACAAATCTAAATTTTCATCAAAGGGGACAGATTCAGTCCAGTAGAATGGCTGCTTCGAGTTGCTTCCTCATGATGCACTCCGTAAGCTGGCTTGTTCGGTGCAACAACTCATGATGCACTCCGTGAGCTGGCTTGTTCGGTGCAACAAGTCCATGGGCGAAGATATGCGTGCCTGGCTACCAGCTGGACTTGAATAAATGTGAGTTGGCTTCCGCCATTTCTCTGGGCCTGGTTGACCAGCATTGAGCAAGGTCAATCAATTAAGGTATCTTTGAGCATCTACTCTGCCTCTGACTAATTCCAGACTCTTGGCAAACACACCGGCCACAGGACTGGAAGGCCCCTTAGAGGTATTAAGATGAGGGGCCTAGGTTGTAGAGGGAGGTGAGACTTACCTGAGGTCACAAGCATACTCACTGTAGAGCCAGACTTTTAATCTGACCCTCTTGTTTCACCTATCCCATTACCCCAAACAGCCTCTTCCTAGTAATCTCAGAACAACATCAAGAGTTAGGTTGGTTAATATGGTGGACTCCATCCTTATTGAGAACCTACTAGGTGCTAGGTAGCTTTTTCAGGGATGAGAAAATTGAGACACGGTGAGCTTAATTATCTTGCCACTCTCACATAGCCATTAGGGGATGAAAGTGGCATTTATTTTTATTTCTTTTTTATTAATTGGGATTAATGCCTACATCAAATCACTCCATAGTTCAATCACATCCAACAGAATTGTACATTTGCTACCACAATCAGTTTCTAAATAGTCTTTTTCTATATGGACCCCTTGACGTCATCACCCCCTCCAACCCACCACCCCCTCCTTGTGTGTCCCCTCCCCCCAAAACCCTTATTCCGTTTGTTGACTCTATAGGTTCATCAGTCCTGGTTTTCATACCCCCCAAAATGAAAAATCACATACCACAAGTTTAAGAGGGTGACTTCCAATGACACAAAAGTCCTGCGATACCCCTAATATGTACAGTCAAAAACCAAACAGAACAATACGTAAGATTTTCGACACCAGATCAGGTCCAGCATGCATCCTACGGGGAATCTGCTGGCAAGTTTTAACTGTTCAAGACAGGTTCTGTTTTTGACCTTCTACACTCAACTCACTGATGCACTCCATTTAGTGACCACTTTCCTCCTGACCCTCAATTGTGGATAGAAGAAGTTGACCTTAAGATTTATATCCTGTGTAGCTCTACCAAAGAATCTTGGGTTCCCATGGTCATTCATAGGCTTCTGTAAACCAGATTCTCACACTTTAGGCTTTGATACTAATCCCTCTTTCCACTTCTGATTATATGCTACACAATCCTTCGGTGACTGACGGTGTACTTCTTCCATGTGGACTTAGTTGACATCTCACTTAGATGGCTGCTTGTTCAGCGGCAAGCCTTTAAGACCCCAGACACTACTTTATCTAATAACCGGGCACCATCTAATTTCTTCACCACATTTTTCTATAGCACCTGTCTCCTCTGTATTTCCTTCCTGGAGGTGAGTATGAAGCAGGTCATGATGTAAGAACTAATTGTACTGAGGTTGGAGCTGGGATTTAGTGTGGGCCCCCAAACCATCCCCCGATCTAAGTTTCTCAGTTTGATCTTTCAATTTATTCTTCTTTGGGAAGTAACCCAAATGTCATATCATTGCATCATTCAATCGCATCAAGCAGAATTGTACCATTGTTTCCATATGCAAGTGGCATTTAAACTGATCATTTGTACTCCCGAGCTGGTGCCTTTTTGCCTGATTACCTTATCTCCCCCCACACCCCTGCTGGTACTGGAGACAGTAGTGCCAGCAGGGCCAGGTCCTTGGAGCCGCAGGAGCCCTCCGCTCTCCCGGTGCTGTATTTGTGGGAAAGAAGCAGTCTCGGCTGTTCCACAAACTCACCAACCTGTCCCGGGCTCAGAGAGCTGGAATTGGTTTGCACATTTCCAGTTCCTTCCAAGGAACAAAAGGTGATACAAAATTTTAAATCATAAAACAGGGCAAATAATGTTTTAATTAGCTGGCAAATTATACAGCCAGAGGGGCCTTGCTCTGTTCTCGGAAGTAGATATTAACTTTATTAACTTTTTCTCGTGCTCAGGTTACGTCGGTTCTTTGTGAAGGTGGGTGCGTGCGAGTGCGGTGAGTTCTCATTTCACTTGGCAGAAATCTTGGCTGGGGTTTACAAGGAAAATTACTTTTAGATTTTTCTTCTGATGGTGAACTTGGCCTGCCTCATTCCCAACTGAAACTGAATTCTTTGCAGGCGGAAACAGGATTTAAAAAAAAAGAGAGCGAGAGAGATAAAGAAAGAAATAAATTAGGTGGAGGAAACAACCGAAGAATAAATAATCCTCTTAAAACAGTCAAGGAGAGAGGCAAGGAAGAGAGTTCAGACGGGGGTGGGGTAGGTTCTAGTTCGGTGATTGACTTACTGGTTGGCTTTGTGACCCAGGTCCCTGCTTCCCTTCTGTCACATGAGGATAATGATCTCCACTCAGAGACCCCATTCAGGGCCACTGAGAGATTCAAGTGGGATACTGTAGGATAAAGTCATTTAAGTTTACAAAGCGCTGTCTAAATATTGTCCCAGGAGTCATACCTGGCAGTAGCAAAGGAGCCTGCAGGGTGATGTGTGAGAAAGGGATTCCCCTCAGTGAGTTCCTAAACGGACCCTGAAGATAGTCTAAAATGTGGGCATGTGGGTGAAAATGAGTGTGCTGGATGTGTCCAATGTATCTGTGCCCTTCAAACAGATTCGTGTGATGTGTGTGAATGCCAGTGCTAGTTTGTATATGTGTGTGTGTGTACATGTATGCCCATTTATTCATTTATGCTACAAATTCAGTCTGAGTGCTTACTAGGGGCTCTATCTACTTACTGGAGATTCAGCAGTGAACTAGACAGACAAGTCTTTTTATGTGGGTGGGTGTGTATAAGAAAGTGAGAATCTTTCAGTGTATGAGGAAATGGGTGTTATAAGTGCGAGTGTGTGAGTGTGTGTGTGTGTATGGGGTACGAGTACTTATAACCAATTAGGGAAGATTAGCATGTCAGTGCATGGGAATCTGTGTACTTGCCTGTGCATATGTGTGTCATAAGGGAAAGAAGGAATTCTTGGTCATATTAGGGGAATTTTTAAAAAAATTCTTGTTGATTCAGTTCCAACTCATGGTGATTGCATGCATGTCTGAGTAGAACTAAGCTCCATAGAATTTTCAGTGGTTGATTTTGTTCAGAAAAAGATCTCCAGGACTTTCTTCCAAGGTGCTTCTGGGTTGGCTCAAACCTCCAAACTTCACATTAGCAGCTGAGTATATTAGCCATTTGCACTGTCTAGGAATTCCCCTGATCCCTAAAGGCATCAAATTTTGTTTAAAAGGCTTGTTCCTTAAGGACCTTGTGAGATCCTCTAGTCTCACCCTAAACATTTGAGAAGGGAAACAAAACCCCAGAAGGGGAACACAAAACAAAGACAGTAGACAGCACGTCAGCCTGCAACAGGACAAGGACTGGAAGATGCATCTGCTCGTTCTAATAGGAGCCCTGATGGCCCAGCGGTTACGTGTTGGACTGCAAACCGAAAGGTCAGTAGTTCAAAACCATCAGGCACTCCACAGGAGAAAGACAGGGCAGGAGAAAGACCAGGCTTTCTACTCCAGTAAAGAAATGCAGTCCCAGAAACTCATAGGGGCAGTTCGAGCCCGCCTTATGGGGTCACTATGAGTTGGTATCGACTGGATGGCAGTGAGTTTGGTTTTAATTTTTAGAGGCTCTTCCTAATAAAAATGTGTTAAAATACAAATTTAAATTAATTTGTCTCTGCTTATTCTAACCAGGCTGTGGGGAAGAGTTGGGGGAAACAAAGCAAATAGGTCAGCCAGTCTAGAATATCGAGTGTCCTGGATGCCGTGACCGAATCAACCAGCTCCGACTCATAGTGACCCGATGAGACAGGGTAGAACCGGTCCTGGGAGTTTCTGAAGCTGTAATTGGTCACCGAGTAGAACACCCCCTCTTTCTCCCGAGAGCTGCTTGTGGACAGGAACCTTGCCAACCGAACACATAAACAAGAGGTTGAATTAATTCTCAGGAGCCATGAGAGGATTTGAGCAGGGGAATAAGCTGGTCAGGTTTCTATCGTATATAAATCCCTCTGCTGGAGAGAGACTGGGCTGCAGCTAGTGAGACCTCGGGAGAAAGGCCCTCTAAGAGGCCAGGGTGGTGCGGGTGGGCGGGAAGGAGGCTTGACTTGAGAGGAGACGACAGAAGGAGCGTGGACTGCACCAGGCTTCTAGACCAGGATCAGAGACCTTTGCAGCCATTAGGATGTCAAGGGAGGGCTGCTATTTTTCTAAGCATTTACCATGAGGCAATTTACCTTAAACCGGACAACAAAGAGTAGGAGATTGGGAGTTCGTGCAATCCTCTCATTGAAGCCTTCCAAAAATCTAGTGAAGTGGGCATGCTTTCCCCCATGGTATAGAGAAAAATAACTGCAAGTCGTAGCTACTCCAAGACACCCACCCAAGACTAGAACCAGGTCTTACTGCTTCAAACTAGATAACCTAATGATCCCTTAACGAGCATCTACTTGGTGCCAGAAACTGAACTTGGCACGTTACGCACATTGTTTTGTTTCTGCCTTGCAATAACCATTTCACATGAGAAAAATGAGACCCAGAAGTGTTAAGAAATTTGGCCAGCGCATCAAAGAACTTTCCCAAGAACATAGAAAAGCAACCTAAGAATAGGAGAAAATATTTGGGAACCATATAAGCTTTGAGTTGCAAATGCAAGGTCAATGGGTCAAACCCACCAGCCACTCTGTGGGAGACTAAGGCTGCCTGCTCTCAAAAAGATTTACAGCCTATTCCACCTCTATGTATAGACCCAAACTACTTTTGTGTAAGTAGGGATTTACACAAATACTTGTACATCAATGTTCATTGCAACATTATTCACAATAGCTAAACCATGGAAGCAACCCAAACGCCCATCAACAGACGACCGAATATACAAAATATTGTGTATATACATGCATTGGAATACTATTCAGCCAAAAACAGAAATAAAGCTCTGGCAAATGCTATGATATAGATGATCCTTGGAAACATTTTGTTGAGTGAGATACGTCAGACTCAAAAGGATAGTTACTGTATGATCCCACCATTATATTAAATATATAGAACATGACGTGCATAGGAACAAGTTTATAAGTGGTTATCAGAAACTAGGAAAAGTCCCATACCTTGACCCCTTCAGAGACAGATCCCTCCTTATCTCTCTTAGGTTATCAAAGGCAGTCACATAGGACTGGGGACTGAAAGTCAGGATACTGTGACATTTGGCTCCAGTAGACACATTGTGAAGTTTAGGCAAGGTCTTTGTTAAGGAGAGCACATCCCCATATGCATCGAGACCCAGTGTGTTTATCCTTCGGCAACATGAGGCTGGACCTTTGCCTTAATGCCTGCCTGGTCCTTCCTCCCACCCTGACAAGAACATACACAGTGAAGACCTTCATTCATCCTGCACACTCAGATTTACTCATCTCTGAATCCATCCTCCCAAATGAAAGCAAAATGAGGACCATCAAAGGGTGAGACCTAGAATTTATCTTGTTTTCCTAAACTGGGTATCAGGTTCATTGACTCCAACGTTGTCTGCCATATCACTCTTTCTAGACATTTTCTGACCTCTACTCCATTCTCACTTCCTCAAATTTAGGATTGAAGTCCTGATTCCAGGATGGTACATGCTTCCTAAGATGCCCAGTGTCACCATTAGTCAGAGGCCCTGGATGAGACATCCGAACAGATGGACCATGGACACCCCCTCTCTCCTGAACTTAGCGCGCCAATGTTGGTCACTCTGATGGCCTGAGGCTTGCCGCTCCAACACTACACTTCACTTTCCCACCAACCTACCTGCCAAGATCCCAACGTGACTTTGGTCAAGTTCATCCAAGTTACCATATTTGAGCTGATTTCCTCTAACTTTTAGTTCCTGGGTTTCTAAAGTCACCCCACCCTAATTCCTAAAACTAATTCCTGGCCCCAGTTGAAAGACTTTCAGACTGAGTGAAAGTAATCTTCCATTGAAGTGCATTGACATCAAGACCCCATTGATACTTCCGTCCTTACCAGAAGTGTCAGCAGAGTCCAGCAAGGGCTTGGCTTACTGCCCTTCTTAAGGTCTCCCCAATGTCTGCTCCAAAACCCATAATTGTCAGAAAATATACCCACGAACGTGGTCAGGAAGCAAACAGTCGTCTGTATTATTTACTGTCTTCTGGAGTATAGCCAACAAGATTTTGGTCATGCAGAGGCTGGGAAAATATTTATGTGGGCCATGATTGATGCTTGGTCAGGAGGAACTGCCCACTGTCATCTTTTCTTCCTGTTGATAAGGCAAAGCTAGCATGTCAGATGACCCCCAGAAGGGCGCAGGCAGCTGAGACCTGGCACTGGCTCAGAGTGGGGTGACACAGTTGTCCTCAGTTCCAGCCTTGTTTTTGCCACCAACTTGTCCTTCTCCTCCCATGGTCTCAGCATCTGCACCTGCAAAATTGTGGACTACGCTAGATGACCTTAACATATCTGTGAGCCTATGCAATTGGGACTCACACCGAGTTAGATGTATTTCCCAGATCTGCCATCATGATGCCATTGGTTCATCGCAGAGCTGCTTTTCTTGGCATCCTGGAAACGTTCCTGAAATTCCAGCATCCTAAGATTTCTCTTTCCAGTGATCCAGTTTCTGTAACCAGATGGGAGAACTCCATCTGGAGGAGGAGGACATAAGCTTAAAATAAAAGGGTAAAATTAAAATTTAAGAAAAAAGAAAGAAAGTAAAGTCCAGCAGTGTTTATTTTGCATCACATTTTGTAAAGCTTGGTTCTGAGCCCATGGGGACAATGAAGGGCAACGAGTCACATGCCCTCCATCCTGACCTCTGAAAGTTCAAATAAGGTAGGTATGTGTATATGTTGCGAAGTGGGGTGTCTTAGCTATCTGCTATAACAGAAATACCACGAGTGAATGTAACCGAAAAAAGGTGTCCTCTCTTTATTCAGTGCACCAGTTCTAGGGGAAGTCTTTCTCTCTCTGTTGGGGAACATCCTGAGTTCCTTTTCGTATCTAAGGGCCTAGAGTTCCGTGGAGATCTTCATATCTTGCCATCACTCTTCCTCTGGGTCTAGGAGTTTCTCAGCACTAGGACCCTGAGTCCAAAGGACACACACTGCTCCAAGTTCATCTTTCTTGGTCCGTCCTTCTCTACTCACTTCTCTGTCTTTTTACTTCTTCTAAGATAAAAGGTAATGCAGGGCACACTTCAAGGAAGCTCTTTACATTGGATCAGGGCTGTGGCCTGAGAAAAGGAATTTCATTCCACCACTCTAATCCCCTTACAACTGATTACCTGATCACATATGAGAGTTATAACATCATTATGTAACTGCCAGACCACTAAGAATCATGGCCCTGCCAGGTTGCCACATATTTGGGTTCAGGGGGTGCAATCAAATCAATGATATCCCCTACTATGCCCACCCTTCCAAATCCATGTCCTTGCCAGATGCAATACCATTTTACCCCATCATAAAATTCCCAAAGTCTTAAACTAATTTCTAGTTCAAATTCCAACAAAAATCTCTGCTCATCTGTGCATCTAAAACACAAGTTGCTTGCTTCCTACATACAATGTTAGGACAGGCACAAGGAGAGGTTGCTCTTACAAATGAGAGAAGTTCATGGGAGAGAAGAATAAGAGCCACCAAGCAAGTGAAAAACCCACCGGGACAATTCGCATGATCGCTCAAGGTTTGAAGATAACATCTGCTCTCTGAAAACTCCGAAGCAGTGACTCTACCCCCCAAACCCTGGTGTGGGCCACACTCTATAGATTCTGAGTAGAGGACCCTCTGCCTTGGGCTTCTGGTCTCTCAAGGCCATTAAAACAGCAACTCTGCTCCCCCCGTTTTGAGCTGCCCTCTTCTCCTAGTTTAAAAGTGGCAAACCCACTCCTTTGGCCCTGGCAGTTCCTGTCCTGTCCCTCAGGGATGGCAGCCCTGCCCCTCAGCTTTGGTCAGAAAATCCAACCATATCCCCAGGCACTTGTAAACAACAGCTCCACACTCTGGGACTGGGTTGATAACGATTTGAATTTTTGAAATCTAGAAGATTGTATCCACACCCTTTGAAACCTTAGTGACCACGCCCCCCCTCCTTTGAGACCACAGCGGACATGCCCTCTTCTACCCTATGAGACAGTTATGCTGCCCAGACTCCTTGTCCCGTCAGCTTCTGCTTTCCGATTCCATGGCCCCTTGGCCCCTTGGCTCCTTGGGCCTCATGAGCTACCCCAGCCTCTGCTTTGCTCAGGCAAAATTTTCATTGCTCTTCGGCACTACCAGAAGGTTCCTGAAAGCACTTCACTCTGCCAGTAAGCCGCATTCCAAAGAAATGCAGCTCTCTCTCTATGTATAGGTCAGCAAGCCTGGGGACACCGGACTCCACCAATAAGCCTCGTGCCTGAAGGGACTCTACTCTCTCACTCCGTGTGTCAGTTCCTGCACCATCTTGAATTAGTCTCCGGGTTCTTCTGCCACCATCTTGCTGCTGCTGCTGCTGCTGCTGCTGCTGCCGCTGTTCTGCATTCCGTGCAGTACCATCGGCGATGTCTCCAGAGTGAAAGCCCTCCTCACTTCCTTCTGAACCCTCACCAGAATTGCCTTTGACGTCTATAATTCCACTAACAGCCTCTTATTTGTATATAATACATTGATATATTACAGATTTATACAGTATTTTTATATATTGTATATATAAATATATAAGATATATGTAATATCTATAAATATATGTATGTGTATTTTGCGTATGTATACATATATGCACAAGGACATATATGTATACACATATTCACACACATGTTTTTGTGGTTTTCTAGTGCACCATGCTTAAACACAGTCATTTATCACAAGCTGGAAAATGACAACATGCCAGCATTCTGTTGTCATGTGTTAACTATGTGTGGGATTCAGCCCCACAACGGCACAGGTCCTTAGGGGCTGCATGTGCAATTATAGAAGATAAGGAGTCAGAAAAGACAGGGACAGGGGTTCACTTTTCCTATGTCAGAATCAAAAGCGTGAATGTATTTTCCCATGGGTTTATATAGTCACGAGACTTGCAAGCCTCCAGCAGGCACATACGTAATAGAGTGAGTGAGCAATCGAGTGAATCGGCTGCTTAATTGAGGATGTCCCTGAACTCTCCTCAGGGGAGAAACCTATGGTCAGTGTCAGAAGGAAGTCGGCAGCACTTTGGGTGGGATGGACAATAGAATCAGATCAGTCTTATTTCGGGACACTGAAGTAAAGATTCTGAAATGGCTTTGACTATTTCAGAGAAACCGACAGACTCTGCATGGAGACAACTTTGCAGGGAATACTGGGAGTTCCTGAACTTTTCTTTGTCGTTTGCATCGGTGTCTGGGACTTTGATGCTTGGAGAGGGTAACAAAGCAGCAGCTATGCACTCTGAGAAAGGGAAGGGTCTGTGGAGTTGTAGGTATTGGGGAGTTGGCAAGACGGAGGCTCCTCCCAAGCTGAACATGGAGAAGTCAAGAGCTGATATTGGACTTCTGGACTGCTGGACTGTGAGAGAATAAAAGGATTAAAGAACTCTCTTCAGGGGAGAAACCTGTGGTCAGTGTCAGAAGGACATACGTAATAGAGTGAGTGAGCAATCGAGTGAATTGGCTGCTTAATCGAGGATGTCCCTGAACTCTCCTCAGGGGAGAAACCTATGGCCAGTGTCAGAAGGAAGTCAGCAGGGTGGGATGGACAATAGAATCAGATCAGTCTTTGAAGTAGAACTAATTTCAAGTGGGTGCAGAGTGACCAGCCAGGTACAAGTGGGAGACATGTTTAAAGTTGCACTTTGTTGGGGTGGGGGTGTTATTGTGGGGACAATTATCAGTCTGGAGAACATGTATTAGGAGTCATATCTGTCTTATAACTGTGGGAGCCTTTCCCCACCAGCATTGGCCTTCCAAGCCTTGTGATTATGAGCATAGAGAATTTAGCCACTTTCATTTTCACCCACTTTCTTAGTTTCCCAAAGCTATGATCACTTGATAAGAAGATGCATTTCTTAATCTAAGATTTGGCTCCCCAATGGCACCTTTTATATAAGAATGCAGGAATAAATATATTGGCTACTTTTCTGGTGTGTCCTGGCTCTGAGTGTGGATGGTGCAGTAACTTAAAGCATTAGACTGCTAACTGCAAGGTTGGAAGTCCAATCCTCCAGCCACGTTGTGGGAGAAAGATGAGACTTGTCTGATCTCATAAAGATTCACACTCTTGGTAACCCTCTATAGGTTGGCTATGCATCAGAATTAACTCGATGGCATTGGGCTTAGGTTTTCTCTTTCCTTTATCTCTGCTTCTCCCAAACTAATTCCTTTCCTGGTCGTTTCTCTTCTACATGGGTCCTGGCTGAAAGAGAGACTTGGTCTCTTCACTAACAGTTTCTTTAAGGTAATTTAGGGTTGAACTTCCTCTCACTATTGACCAGGGATATGACTAGCCTTTCTATGAGACACAGTGCACTAGACAGTAGATTAATGCAGATGTGGTTAGGTTAAAATTTAACACTTTACCATATGTTCTCTCTTTTGACCCATTTTAAATTTATTCTAGTTTTTAAGTAATCTGTTTTCTTTTCAATTGAAATTGTTTATGATTTTATTGTGTTGAGGTTTTCCCTACTTTTTTTAAATATGAAATCCAGGATAGGTAAATCTATGGAGATAGTAATTGGATTAATAGTTTCTTAGACTTATGGCAGGGGAGG